TAATTTCTGCTTTTATGTAATGCTATTTCAAAGGGAAGGACAGATGCACATAATAGATTATGCAAACAAATAAATAAATATTTGCAAGATGTTTCTAAAGAAATTAAATTCCAGGAGGACACAGAGACCCTGACTCTGCTGAGATCGCTGGGCTATTGGCCCCCACAGAGTGCAAAGGTGAGCTGCTTTGGCCCCTGCCTTGGGCCCAAGTTCTACCTGACCACTCTGGGAATCCTGGCCCTGAGTATGCAGGCTGACTGAATCGGTCCCTGAGGACCCAGGGACCATGACTTTGCTGAGATTACTGGGCTACTCCACCCCCAGGCAGTGCAGAGTGCAGAGTGCATTGAGTGCAGAGGTGAGCTGTTTTGGGCCCAACTTCCGCCTGCCCAATCTGGGAACTCCTGCCCAGGGATCTGCAGGCAGATGGACTTGGCCCCTGAGGCCCAATCAACCCAGAGTCTGCTGACACCTCGGCACCAGTCCTACTCTCATCCACCTGGAGAACGAGTGCCTCAGATCTGCCTGCACCCACCTTGAGACCCATCAGAGTATCAGAGACAATTGCACCCACCTGAAGAGAACCCAGACTGATACACACCAGGAAAGGAAGTGACACCACCTGCACCCACTGGAAGAAGAGATGGGAAGACGACAATATAAGAACATGTCCAACAATAGGAAAACCAATATGACACCACCAGAATCTAGGGACTCAACACCAGCAAGACATGAACATCCCAACAAAGAAGAAACAGAAGAGAGCAACCTTAAAAACAACTTCCTGCAGCTGATAGAGACCCTAAGAGAAGAAATCAGAAAATCCTTCAGAGAAATGAAAGAAAAGATGAACCAAAAGATGCAAGAAAACAAGGAAAGTCAAGAAAATACAATTGGCAGCTGAAGGAAACAGTTCAGGACCTGAAAACTGAACTAGAGTCAATAAGGAAAACACAAACTGAGGGAATGCTGGAAGTGGAAAAGCTGAGTAAATGATCAGGAACCACAGATGCAAGCATAACCAACAAAATAAGAGAGATGGAGGACAGAATCTCAGATGCTGAAGATAAACTAGAGGAAATAAATTCATCAAACAAAGAAAATCTTATGTCCAACAAATGCTTAACAAAATATCCAGGGAATATGGGACACCGTGAAAAGACCAAACCTAAGGATAATAGGTATAGAAGGTGAAGAAACCCAACTGAAAGTTACAGAAAACATACTCAACAAAATCATAGAAGAAAACTTTCCCAACCTGAAGAATGACTGGCCAATGAAAGTACAAGAAGGCTACAGAATGCCAAATAGAGTGGACCACAAAAGAAAGTCCCCTCATCACATAATAATTAAAACACCAAACGTACAGAATAAAGAAAGAATATTAAGAGCAGCAAAGGAAAAACGCCAAGTAACATATAAAGGCAAAACTATGAGAGTTACACCGGACTGCTCCACGCAAACTCTGAAAGCCAGAAGGACATGGATAGATATTCTACCAACTCTGAGAGAACATGGATGCAAGCCCAGACAACTATAATCAGCAAAGCTTTCAATCACTATAAATGGAGAAAACAAGATATTCCACAACAAAACCAGATTTAAACAATATGTAACCACTAATCCAGCCCTACAGAAAGTACTGGAAGGAAAACTCCAACCTAAGGAAATTAATTACACTCACATAAACATAGGCAATAGATAATCCCACATAATGAAAACCCAAAAGAAAAAGCAGGGTAAATTCACATACAATACCACTACCAATATCAAATCAAAATCAAACAATAATAAAAACTCAATGGACCTTAATTTCCCTCAATATTAATGGTCTTAACTCGTCTATAAGAAGAAACAGGCTAACAGATTGGATACGAAGACAGAATTGATCCTCCTGCTGCATACAAGAAACATACCTCGAATTCAAAGACAGACAGTCCTGGAAACAGCTTGGTACTGGCACAAAAATAGACAGGTAGATCAATGGAATCGAGTTCAAAACCCTGATATTAAGCCACATACCTATGAATGCCTGATTTTTGACAAAGAAGCCAAAGCTATACAATGGAATAAAAAAGCATCTTCAACAAATGGTGCTGGCATAACTGGATGCTGGGCATGTAGAAGACTGCAGATAGATACATGTCTATTGTCGTGCACAAAACTTAGGTCCAAATGGATCAAAGACCTCAACATAAATCCAACCACACTGAACTTATTAGAAGAGAAAGTAGGAAATACCCTTGAATGAATTGTTACATCCTTAGCCATCAGTGAAATGCAAATCAAAACAACTCTGCAATACCATCTTAACACCTGTCAGAATGGCTAAAATCAAAAACAACAATTACAGTTTGTGCTGGAGAGGTTGTGGAGAAAGGGGAACACTCCTCCACTGCTGGTGGGAGGGCCAACTCCTAAAGCCACTTTGATAATCTGTATGGCAATTCCTCAGGAAAATGGGAATCAGTCTAACATAAGATCCAGAAATTCCAATCATAGGCATATACCCAAAAGAAGCACATTTCTACAACAAGGACATCTGTTCAACTATGTTCATCGCAGCATTATTTGTAACAGCCAGAACCTGGAAACAACCTAGATGTCCCTCAACTGAAGAATGGATAGAAAAATGTGGTACATTTACACAATGCAATACTACTCAGCAGGAAAAAAAAAAGGCAATGGAATCTTGAAATTCACAGGCAAATGGATGGAAATAGAAGAAACCATTCTGAGCGAGGTAACCCAGTCACAAAAAGACAGGCATTGTATATACTCACTCATATTTTGATTTTACACATACAGTAAAGGATTGCCAGCCTGCTGTCCAGTCTGCCAGAGAGGCTGGTAAACAAGGAGGACCCTAAGATAGACATACATGGTCCCCAGGAGAATGGGAAAGGGACAAGATCTGAGCAAATTGGGAGCATGGGGGGAAGGAGGGAACTAGTAGAATGAGAAGGGGAGAAGGGTAGGGGTGAGGAAAACATGATGGGACAGGGAGGTTGAGTTGGGGAAAGAACAGAAGAGAGCAAGATAAGAGATAATGTAATAGAGGGAGACATTGTAAGTTTAAAGAGAATTCAGGCACTAGGGAAATGTCTGGAGAGCTACAAAGATGACACTAACTAACAATTTAAGCAACAGAAGAGAGGCTACCTTAAATGCCATCCCCTGAAAATGAGATTGATGACTAATTGTTATGCCATGGTATAGCCTTCATCCAGCCGCTGGTGGAAGCAGAAGTAGACATCCACAGCTAAACCTTGAAATGAACTGAAATCCAGATGCAGAGAAGGAGGACTCATGAGCAAAGTGGTCCATACCAGGCTGGTGAAACCCACAGAAACAGCTGACCTGAACAAGTGAGAGATCTTGCTCCCCAGACTGATAACTAGGAAACCAGTGTGGGACTGATCCAGACACTCTGAATGTGGGTGTCAGTGAGGAGACCTTGGAAACCTATGGAGCCTCTTGTAGTGGATCAGTACTTATTGCTACCATAGGAATGGACTTTAGGAGCCCATCCCACTTGGAGGGATACTACCTGAGCCTAGACACAAGCAGGTTGACGTAGGTCCTATCCCAAAGAATATGACAGATATTGAAGACCCCTATGGAAGTCCTCACCCTTCCTGTGGAGCAGAAAGGGTATGGGATGGGTAGGGCATTAGTTGGGGGTGGTCAGAGGAGGAGGAGAGGGAGAGGGACCTGGGATTGACATGTAAAATAACTTTCTTTCTAATAAAAAAGGAAAACATGAAGAAAAAAAGAAAAAAAAATTAAATTCCATAATTAAAAATATGCTCTTGAGACTGATATATAGACATGCGTAGGGAATAATCAGAACTAGGAGAACTTTAAGTACATCATTTGGAAATGTAAAATTTATTTTTTCCTCAGTGATCCCCAGCTTTTTCATTAGTTAAGAGAGTCAACAATATGCATCTCAAAAGTAAACATAAAAATTTCCACACCATAATGTCTTCTTCATTGAACATTTGATACCATTTTTTTCCAATTTTGTCAATAGTAAATATAAGATAGGAAAAATTGTTTTTAAATAGCATCTTTACTTCTATTTACATTAAGAACAAGGTAAGTCTAAATGAAAAACCACTTTGAGTAACACATGAGAATTAATATTGAAATAGTAAACAAAATCCCAATTTTATGCATCAGCCTTACTTGTGATTATTCTATAAGCATAGTATGTCATTTTTTATGCTGAAAATGTACCAATCACAAACATGATTCAATCTATAGAATAGAGATATCACTTGCCATTTTAAAATATCACTATAATATAATACTTACAGAAATAAGGAGCCTTGCTTCTTTATCTCCTTTTTGTAGCAATGTTCTCTTCTTGTAATGTGATACAGAGATGCCTAGCTATAATGTGGTCTTAGGTTGTTGCCATTTACAAAAATGGCCCCTTTTGTAGATGTTACAAATATAATTTTCCATTTTTTTTGTTGTGGTTTCTGTTGTTTCGTTTTATTGTTCTCCCCAAGTGCATTTTGTATTATGTTGTCACCATGAATGTAGGTAATGTTCCACAATTTTAGTTTTTGTGGAATATGTATATCATCATCTTTTTATTGTTCATAGCTTAGAAAATAAAACATTTTTATCAGAATAAAAATCCTAAGTAAAAGGCTATAAATTTGAAAGCTTAGGAGAGATCAAGTAGGACAATCAGATTTTACTATATTGAAAGGGTTTTTATTTTGTGAAAAAATATAAAATTTAATATCTTACACTACAAAAACATGTACACAAACTGAAAGCACACAGAGTTGCATATGTGAACCAATACAAAAATGAGTATCCTTCCTTGAATTCACTGTGAGGCAGGGACACAAGATATCCTGATGTTACCAAAGAATCAGATAGACCTCACAAATACCTCTCAGTTTTCTGAAACTAACTGATTTTGATAATCCTATTAATGAGGGACAGAGTCTGACTTTAGTCTCAGACTGTAGTGACTATAACACCCAGCCTAAAATGATGGGACATATTTTTGCCAACTTTCCTTTTTTTCAATAACATTGAGAAAAGGAACTTGAATCTGGTTTTTACAAACAGACATTTAAAAAAAAAGAATAGCAGCTTTCTCTAACTGACAATTACGTGGTCATTCTTAACAAGAACATTCAACAATCAATGCATGTAAAAGACTCATAAATTAATAAGATCAGAGAAGGAAGTTCTCATCTATTTCTTTTCTGATACATTACTATATAATTAAAAGCATATTAGAGAAAAATATTCAATGTAACCAGTTGTGGTATAGCATTGAAAAAAATGATGACTTATTCAAGCTATCAAGTTTTAAATAAAGCTACCATTATGATTCTCTTCATTGGCTTAGTATCACCATCACCATAGTATTGTCCCTAGTTCTTATTTACATTGAGGGTAAACATCTGGCAAAGTTTAAAAAAAGACTATTTATTATCACATTTAATTCTCCCTCCTAATTTTTAGAAAGAACGAAATGAGAAAGTGGTATTTTCTGCTATGCAACATCACATACCTACTAAATCTCTAATACCATTACAGCCAAAACACCTTTCAAAGGCAAAAACTTCTCATTGTGCTTCTGAAAACCCACTTCAATAGACATACAAATACCTTGTTTACATCCTTTCACTTCCACGTAGAATTAAAAAAGCAGACATGCAAATACATAAGTGCTCAACTGATAGTAACAACTCCACTTTTACATGAGATGTGCAAGTTGTATCTCATTTATTACATTGTGGTTAGAAATTGTTTAACAGACAGAGCTACTAGTGTTTGCATTATTTGTGACAATTCCAAAATGAATAATTATAGACACACTTCTTAAGTTGTAATAAAATATGTCTACACAAATTGTACAATGATTCTCTTACTTTAGAACACGGGGTTGCTTAATAAAATACAAGGACTAAAAAACATGCACATTACAGTTTTTAAATGATGAAAATCAGTATCTTTACATTTTATATATAATTAATACTTTTCAGAGACAGCAATTTTTGCCAGATTGCATACTAGTGAAGAGCATGGTTTGATATAAATTATGATTGATAAACATGTTGACTAAATTACTTTAAATAGAAACAGTCAGCTCAGAGCAATTCCCTGCTACTCCCTCTCACAGTAGTGTTACATATCACTTTACAAATCAGTTGTGTGTGTGAAGATTAAGAAATCTGGACTTTATTTTGGGGAGTCTGTGTGTAAGGAAATGAATCCACAGGAAAAGAATTCACACCACCAGCATTTGCCAAGTCTAGTGCTGAGTGACAGACTCAGTACATTTCACGAGAGCAGAGTTTTCTCCCTCTTCTACTTCTCACATTTATAGATGAGATTGGCACTTTTCAATTGGTGACACATCCAATGGTGGACAAATATTTTAGAAAGTCATTCTTTCCTCTTTGGAAGGCAATGCACGTATAATTTAAAAGTCTATTTCTTCTAAAATCAGATTGACATTCTTTAGACACTCTCAACCAAATTGAGATATGGATGAAAGCTGTGTGGCTTTTAAGCATTCTTTCTGAATTACTTTCCCAGTGTAACACTTGAATTGCAAATGGAAAACTAAATTTGATTCAAATTAATTTTTATTCTGTTGTGAGAAAGCTGAAACAGCCAACCACTTATGTATTAGTGACCCACCAATAATCTCTGAACCTACAAAGTTAGAAAACAATTTGGAATGCATTATTTTATGACCATATAGCTATGGCTTGTACAAGTTCCAAAACGTGCATTTGTAAATCTTTTTTATTTTTTGTTATGAAGGTCTCAAAATTACTTTATCACTAAGATTCAAATAAATTTTCAAAACTCAGTAAAGTATACTAAAATCTTCAATTACATTGTATGATGGTAGTTAGTTTTAATCGTTTTATGTTTGTTTAAATGTAGAAATTCATCTTTTGCAATGATGATATCTGTCACTTTTAACATGACAATATTAAACTACTTCTTTCAATATTGTCTGAAAATTTCACTAAAGCAATAAAGATTTCTTGAATATAGTGTGGACATACAGGGGTTCACTCCTTTGTTGTTGTTTTGACTCTTCTTATTTTTTTAGCAAAGAGCTATTTCATCTTTTTAAAATGGATGGGGAAGGAAGGAAGGAAGGAAGGAAGGAAGGAAGGAAGGAAGGAAGGAAGGAAGGAAAGAATGAAAGATGGATGCATCCTTTTCCCAAATTATTTTTTTTGCATGGGTTAATATTGAAATGAAACATGCGCTTGCAAGAGCAAGGACTACCATTCACAAAAATACTGTCATCTGTCCTGCAGGCCTTACTTCTCTCACATGCTTTTACTAATGTAGCACTGAAAGTCCTCTGCTCCTCAAATGTCACATACCATTCTCTTGATTTTATAAAGCACAACAATGTAAAATACTGCTCAGGTCACTGTCACTCTCACTGTTTTGACAGCTTTTTGTTGGTGCAGTGTATATAATGTACTGAAGGACTGTCTTATATTACTTCACAAGTCTAATTTTTAAATATTTTACATTGGTTCTTCAAAATAGAATTGATGTAATGTAATGGGGGACAAAATGTAATTAAGTTAACAAGCAGTTATTGATGAAAAAAGTGGAAACAAAATTCTGAGTAACAACAGATTTTTTTTTCATTTTTTTTACTGCTATCTTAGTTTCAAAGTTTTATAAATGAGTAACAATGATAGTGATTGAAATGATGAGCACAAGGGGAGATGTTGAATGCCCCCCTGCCTGGACACTAACAGAAGCCAGCACACTCAAATCTCTCTACATCCCACATTAATGTGCCCTTTGTGTCAACTTTGCTTGAGAAAGCATCTTTTGGAACTTAGAAAGGTGGAATTTCAGAGAAGGGTATAAGATTAATGGGTGAAAATGCTTTGTCCGACATACTAGAATGTGTTTGTAAAAATCCAAAGGGGATTTCATATTAATGACATGATCTGTTCAAATAAAGTAATGAGTTGCTTTTAAAATGAGAGAAATATATCAACTTGGGCTGAATTTTGGTCTATGGGTTACTATTTCTCTTATTCATATTACAATCTAGAATACCCTTTCCTGTATGCTGCCAAAATTAAATCACCATCAAAAATGCAAGCAGAACAATATTGCATAATATACCAACATCACACACACACACACAGACACACACACACACACACACACACACACACACAGTCCAAGGTTAGTCAGTTCCTGGCATATTGCAAACTATACAGTATATACACATTCATTACCCAAAGTCTCTAGAAGAGCAACTACATGTAAATTATATAATACAGAAAAATAAATATCCACCCTGTATTGAACTTTTCCTTGAGCAAGCAACATGTTTATATACTATTTTCTATAACTTAACAACAAAATTGCATTTTAAATTACAAACTGTTTTAAGGAGTAATCTAATCATATTGCTCTTCAATACACTCATGTAGACAGAAGTAAAAGTTAAGAATTGAAGTAAATGTTAGTGAAATGCAGCTTTTCTTAGCCCACACATGGCTTTATAATTTTTCCTTCAAGTAGATCCCTGCAAGTTTTGAAAGGGGCTGCCTTAACAGTCTATAAAGGTTCTGTGTCGTGATATATTTCATGTACAAGATTCTGTGGAAGTAATTGGGTAAGATTTATTTACTATTTAATATAGGATGTTTATCCTGTTTTCACTCTATGCAGGTTCCATTTGTTTCATGAAAAATGAAGACACCAAGAGGAAGATCTGGATATTTAGTAAAATATTGTTTACAAATACAAAGGCTGAGACAAATGTCCCTAAATGTTTAGAAACCAATCCTTTCCCTTTTCTCCTATAATTGTTAAAATAAATCTCAGGGCTGTTTACAAAGTGCAGAGCTGTTCACTTGAAGAAGTGACACCTGTGGAGGTTACACTGGCACCATCCCATTTACCAGCTGCACCTTCAGCTCTTGAAGGCTGTTCATGATCTTCTTCTGGTGCCCGACCAGAGTCACTCCCAGGCGCCTCAAATCCCTGCATGAAGAAAGCACACGTTGGATGTATGTATTGATTCAGTTTGTAGCACACCTCAATATTTCACGCTGGCAAAGGGGTAAATGTTTTGCAGGAGTTAGTCACAAAATGGTGACAAGTTTAGATATTCACAGTCCAGTTTTCAAAGGTGGGCTCTAAAACTTTAAAGACAATCTATTTGCAGCCAAAGAACATGTTCACTTTTATTCCTGTGGATGAAAATCATAATTTAAATGGTACATAGTTGTGAAAATGAATGTTTATATCTTACCAAAAAAATTTAAAGCCAATGGGTACAGTTTCTTTTAACAGTATTGAAAATGTGATCCCGATACAACATCAAATGTTATTTTTTGCTAAAGGAAATATAAACTGTAATTTAAAGTTTTACACCTTATCAATTGAAGACTGATCTCTTTAAGAGTCTCATTCATCTCATATAGCCATCACACATTAGAGGCAGCCTTACACAATAATCATCACAGAAATGCCTTTATAACAAAGTTTTGTGTCATTTTTTACTTTGGATTCATAGTGCCAAAGTTTTATCTTTTACTAAATCACACATCAGCTTTTGTTTTCTTTTGACATTTAGAGAAATCTGAAGACTATACACTTTCAAAATGGATTTCATCCTAGATTCTTTTCCCATATTACCTAAATAATCTTATTTTTTAAAAGAAATCTTAAACTATTTTTCTAAACTCAAAGTATCTTATAAAGCTTAAAGAAAGCAAGCATATGTATTTTAAATGCTATTTTATAGAATTTCAAAGGAAATCATTTCATGAAAAGATGTTTGGGCAAATACAATCAATCCACATATTTGGAAAATTATATGAACTAATTCTAAGAAAAGTTAACACTTATAACTCATAATTATAAGTGACAAATATATCTAGCATATTGGAATTTTTTAGGAAGTCACCTTGCTAAAAACAGTTGTCCAATAACTTTTATTTTTGCACTCAGTTTCTTAATTTAAATTTTCTTAGCTATCAGATAGTATTGAAGAAAATGGCAAGATCACAATGGGTAAAACAAAGTATTGTTATGTAACAGAAAGATAACTCTTTGCAAGAAGGCTGAGCACCTTGATTCCAACCTTGTCAGCCCTGGAATGACTCATATACTCAGATAACTTCAAGCTTTTTATCTTCTTAATGGTTTCTGAATTTCTTATGAGAATTTCATAAAATGAGATACAACCAAAATACTATTGGTACTTATGACAGTAATATGATTTTTTCTTACAACATTATTACTGAACGTTAAGTACAGAATCTCAGCAAACAATATAAAAACAATAAATGCTGATGTGGTTTGCAAGAGAATTAACTGCAAAACATAGATTCAGTAACAATCTGCTTGGAAAGAAAGTCTCTATAGTTATCACAGTAATAGATAATTGAAAATTAAAATACAAATAAACACTGCCTTTCTTCTCAATTAAATTGGCCTTCTCTGGCTTATCATTGGCTAAGGGAGTCTATGACATTAGAAGGCTACTCTATTCATTGTAGGTTACTTAATAGACTCCTTGGCTTCTGCTGAAGATACTAGACTACAAGGAAAGACATCATAATTATAGGGACAAAATTCTTCAGACAGTGACCCTGTTATGCTTAATAATTATCCAGTTTCTCAGTATTAGAAAAGTGTTTAATGGCAGCACAGTATTTAAAAAAATTAGTTTATGGACAAAGAGACACAGATTTGGGAAATGTAAATCATTCAGCTATAGGACACATCAGTAGTCAACTGAGGAAGGACTTAAACCAGACATGAAACTTTGAAACCCACACTTTAATTTGTCATCATATCTAGGGCTGATTTTGGAAAAAAAAAAAAAAAACTTACGTTAAATACAGAAATTATTTCTGGTAAAAAAAGCAAACTTGAAAGGCATAATTGAATATGGAAAATACTCAAAGACCTGGATGTTTTGACTAAAGTTTTATAATAAATCTACATTTCAACATAGTTACCATTGTTGAGCACTTCCCTAACCCTAACCCTAACCCTAAACCTAACCCTAACCCTAACCCTAACCATAAGCCTAACCCTAACCCTTAACCTAACTCTGAACCTAACCCTAAACCTAACCCTAAACCTAACCCTAACCGTAACCCTAACCCTAACCCTAACCCTGACACTAACCCTGAACCTAACCCTATATGTTTCATCAAAAATTGTGTAAAGTGAATATTTATGGGTGGTTACTAGAAAAGTGTAGCTCACAGCCAGGATCAAAGGAACTGAATTTTGAGCACAGATATAATCAATTCCTAGTTAAAAAAATTAAATTGAGAGGAGAAGCTATATTTTAAAACGTGTGTTTGTCATATGCATTGTAAAAATCTAAGCCCTGAGGGCCATCTCTTTATTTAAGTATCATATATTTAAGTTACATACTTCACAATTACTCATGTAATCAGTAGAGATAACTTCTAAATAATAACTATGACATTTTCTCTTACTGATTTAAAACCCCAAATATACTGGTTTCCACTTTGAAGGACATGGACTTTTCACGTGTAACACTTTGAGTTGAAGGGTTTGTCGGTGCATATATGTTTGTGCCACATTCTGACTCTTGGCTACAATGACATTGAATCATTAGTTTGACTTATTATTTTTTATATGTGTAGCTTTGCTAACGCTTATATGATTATAATTTATTTCTCCCAAAATGAACAACTCACAAGAGAACCTAAAGAGTTGGTATATTGAGTTTGTTATGATAAAAAGGAATGTTTTGAAGAATTGAATTTGGTTAATAAATACAGGTAAATAGTTTGTATTTATGGGGGGGCAAATTTAATTTATTTTCTCAAATGATTGAATTAAAGTTGTATACAAACATACTTGACTAGAAACTTTAATACTGACTTTAAGTCATATTTGTCCTAATCTTACTAGTTAAAAACACATAAAATACTTTTCAATATCAGTTTATTTTCTGATGTTCTCTGCACACACAAGTATATGACCAGTACACTGAACTTTTTTCTCATGTCTTTTGTCCTCTCTCTTCCTCTTCCCTACTTCCACTTATTTATTTTTTCCTATAAGAAAAATAAAATTACAAATATGAAGCATTATATCTTAAACATTGTTTATAAATAATGTACATTTTTATAGAGTTCTAAGGTATTTCTTTAAGTCTGATTTGTTATTTTAGGAACTATGAAAGTGATATATAGACAAACAAATCAGTATAATTTTATGCTTATGAATACAAATATCCATAATATCTTTTTCAGTGGAAATGAGAGAGAACACGTATTTATACAACTACTCTCAGATACGTCTTGGAGAATTAGGTTGGTACTATATAAAATTATCTGAAGCTTGAATATCTTTCTTCCAATACTGTCAAATGCATTAAAACATTGTATTTCCAACTGAATTTCAGGAGTTCAGCTCAGTTTTTAGCTGTAGATGTCTGTTTCTGCTTCCATCAGGTACTGGATGAGCAAAGGGGTCAAGACCAGATTGGATAAACTCACAGCAGCAGTTGACCTGAACAAAGGAGAGTCATGGGCCCCAGACTGACAGCTGGGAAACCAGCATAGGACAGACCCAGACCCCTGATCGTAGGTGTCAGTTAGGAGGCCTGAGGAATCTATGGGGTAGTAGATCAGTATTTATCCCTAGCATAAGAATGGTCTTTGGGAACCCACTCCACATAGAGTTATACTCTGTCAGCCTAGACACATGTGGGAGGGCCTAGGACCTGCTCCAAAAATATCACAGACTTTGAAGATCCCTCATGGATAGCTTCACCCTCCTTGGGGAGCAGAAAGTGGATAGGATGGGGGGTTGGTGTGGAGCAGGGGAGGAAGGGAGGGAGAGGGAACTGGGATTGATGTGTAAAGCAATATTGTTTCTAATTTAAATTTTAAAAAACATTGTATTTTCATCTCATATAATTGGCTATTTTCAACAGTTTATTTTAAGTGCGTTTTCTTTGGGAGTATTTATTTACATATGTGCATGTGTGTGCACATACACACATGTATTTCTGTGTTTGTATATGTGGCATATGCATGTGTAGGCTCAACTGTGTAGACATATGAGGATACCAGAGTCTGATATTTCTGTGTCTTCCTAATTGCCTCTCTAAATTTTTTATTTACATTCATGCATTTATTCATTTATTTAAACAGGGCCCATCACTGAGCCTAGAACTTGCAGATAGACTGACCAGTGACTACCCTGGGATTAGCCAATCTTTGGCCCCCAGAAATGGCTTTAAAAGTCCATTCTGCCATACCTGACTTTGAAGTGGATGCTAGCTATCAGAATTTATGATAGCTCAGAAAGTACTTTACCTAATAAGCCCTCTACTAACTATAACAGTTTCTATTTTACTGTATCCTACATGTACAAAGCGGGCAGATTCATAACAATAGGTACATTGTGTGTGGCAATTAAGTGACTTCACTCCTGTACAGTGAATTTTGGAAAGAAATGTTTTCTGATGGTGAAGTATATACCTTTCCCCCCCTAATTTTACTGTGCATCTAAGACATATCATGTCTTGATAGTTTTATATGTGTCCACTATATACACATTACACTAATTGCATTATGAACACCTGTTATCTGAATAATACTTAAGGCTGTTTTTAGTGTTGATACATCACTCTTAAGCATAGGCTTGCATAGCCATAAATGATGAGAATAGAACATAGAAGACAAAATTATGTTGACAAGACATGACATGTTTTAGAAGATCGGCAATGTAATGTGGTTCTGTTCCTGGGATTACATTTCAATATGTTTTCAAACGTTATTTCATGACAAAAAGTAATGAAAAACACTCTTAATATATTGTGGGGCTGAAGTAATAGAACAAGCTAAAGAATAAAAAGTGCCTTATACATACATACATACATACATACATATATGGGAGAAGAAGAGGAAGGAAGAGACAGAAGAAGGGAGAGGTAGAGACAGAAAAAAGAGAGAAAGATACATCCTTGCTTGTTTTCTTTTGTGCTTTGTATATGTTTTAGCATTATTAGTGGACTTAAACTGCATTCCACTAGCTGGCTAGTAGAATGGACATGAAACAGTGATGAATATTCACTCAACCTCACAAAATTTTGGTTTTGTCTTTTTTTTTTTTCAGTTTTATAATGTAGCTATGTGCTGTCACTTTTTCCTGACTTGTTTTTAAAAATCCAAATAGTCACTTATTAGGTACAGTACAAGGTATTAAATATCTTTACCAAGATAATATCAATCATTTTGTAGAGATTAAACCTTATAAAAAACACACTCAGAGCCGGGCTTTGGTGGAGCATGCCTTTAATCCCAGCACTCAGGAAGCAGAGGCAGGTGGATCTCTGTGAGTTCAACAAAAAAACAAAAAACAAAATACACACACACCCATTCAGAATATCCGCTTAGTTGCATAAAGCACAGAGAATAGTGAGCTCTCCTAAATATGCTTTGAGAGTATACTAAATTATGTTTAATGATTTCCATCACAGGTTAATGAAGCTATTTGAGTTAGTTGCACAAATTTGGGTTCCAGATTTAGAAAACTGTTGTTTTAGTGTAGTAAGACACCACCCTTATAACTGTTACAGTAATCTATTCAGCTTACAGAAAATTAGTATAATATTTAAATTCACTGGATTTTGCTCATTTTCCAAATAACCAAGGTTTGACAGCACTGGCCTGAAAAGAAATCTACAAAGCAGCTTTGATTATGCCTTTACTTGAAATCTTTGGCTTCAATTTACCACTTGTCTCCAGTTCACAATTTCCCCTGTCAACAGTAACTCGCTGCAGTTGTACATGATAGTAGAGTCTTGCCATTTCTTCTCCAAAAATTATTCAAATATGATTAATGTATACAGACAGAATAGCATGGTTTGAGAAAAGGAGACAGGCAGCAGGCAGAGTATCTAAAGTTAAAAGCTATTCTTATTGAATATGCCTTCCTTTAAGACACACAAAGTCTTCATTTTTATTCCTCATACATGTACTGGCAAATAGTTGAAAAACAAAATAACCCTTATTAAGGCAGTTTTTAATCAATGGTTATAATTATAAGAACTGTTTCCGAGTTATATTTCTAAACTTAATATACACCCAAATTTGTCAATCAGTAAAACACATCATTAATGTATAGTACTTTGTGCATTTGCTTTTTTGGTTGATTTAACATTTTTTTCTAAAGATTTACAGAGCTATGAATATGTCAGTCCCTTATTAGCTTTTAGGAATAATATTTTATCGTGTTACTATAGTCTTTCATAGGATTCATACAATTAATATTTAGATAATGGATGATGAGTAGCTATGCAAGTGTACGGTCAAGGTGTTCCAAGAGTATGCCCCTGATTTGTGTGAATACCCCATTTTTTTTGGGGGGGTGCTACTTCTCATCATAGGGCAGCTTTATTTTTCTCTTTGTTAAGCTAAAAAACTGTAAAATTACATTTTTAATCCATGACCAAGGAAGTAACTGATAAGTCCTTATTTTGTACTTAAGTTAAAATGATATTTTGCTAAAACAAAACCTACTAAGTAGAAACGCTGGTCAGGAAAAGTCATAACAAACAACAGAATTTACTCCTGATAATGTCAAATTCTCCATAATGCCAACTTCTTGGAGATAGCATACCTAATTCCCAGTAAGGATTATGGTAATGACTACGGATCCCAGGTATTTGAAGCAATTTATATAAGACAACAGTCTTTGTCCTTACTTTTCTAATTTCCAGTAAATGAATTGAAAGATAAATTGAAAGAGGCAATTTAACAAAGTAACAATTATAAGGAAATAGAAGAGATGCTTAGGTTTTGAGAAAGCATACAATACTAAAGAGAGTTGAAGGGGTTACAGAAATAAATAGGAATGAATTTTAAGAAATAAGAAAAAGTAAAACCCTGGTACAATAATATTTCACATAGTTCTACTATTTTGAGGTCCCCAAGAAATAAAATGATTCACTGGAAGATAACACTCACATTAAAATAACTTTAAAAAAGAAAAAAAAATGGGATTTTTGTAACAATACTTTTTACATAAAACAGTTCTAAATATATGTATGGTCATATATTCTCTTAATAAAAACAGAGACATTGTTTAATGCAAATAATTTTATTATGTATTTACAGGTAATCTGACATTGGGTAGAAGAAATACCTACAATATCATTTTAATATAAAATGACAAATGACTTTAATAAATTAAAATGACCATTTTTACTGAAAAATTAAATAGTAATTATGTAAAAATAGTTTTAAATCATCAGGAATATTTTTAGTATACTTTTTAACTATGGCAGAAATGAGTTTCTTGAGCATCAAAGAAATAATGGGTAAAACATTCATGTCTTCAAGATGTGATTTAGTAATAACTGTGAGAATGGGATTAAGTAACCTAATAAAGCAAGCCAAGTGGTTATGATTTAATGTATGTTTAGTTATCAGTATGAAGGAAGACAGTGCTGGGACTGTGATATTAATCTGTAGTAAGTAATGGTACCCTGTTACCTTTGGTGAGGATGAGCAATGAATTCAATGATATCAGAATGATAGATAGGGATGTCTAGAGAACTGTTCAGTATCAATATTACATGAAGGGATGAAGTCCATACAGTGGGTTAATGACTTAGAGCATACTAACATTTTTAAATCCTTATAACAATATTTTAACCTTTAAATTTGCAGGTCATTTGAAGTCAGTTATCATGACTTCACAGGTTAAAACATTATTAATTTAGATGTAATCTAGATGGAACCACAATAGAACAATTATTTTTCACAAATAGCAATTAGGCTAAAACAATTACACATATAGAGTATATAATAAAGTACAAATGATGTACAGCCTTAAAGAATTTAATATTTAGCTCTAGTAATTTTTATTTAATAAGATTTCATAAATTGTCTCTTAAACGTGCAAACAGAAAAGGGCACAATTGGTTCCACTGAGATTGTACCAAATAACAACACATCAGAGGCAGGATCTAACATATCCTCAAACTTCAAGAAAATAAGTTGCACCATGTAGATATTAAATGAGATTCCTGCCAGAGAAACTTTAAGCTTTCCCCTGGGTATTTACTATAGAAAGCTGTCATTTAAGAATATGTTCTTTCAGTTTTTGATTTTGTCTTTTCTTACACAGGACTAACCACACCAATTGTGCTTACAGTTTGTTTTGTTTTATATTTACATTTATATAACATAAGTACCAGTATAAAAACCTCATCAACAAAACATCTTTTTTCACAACACAAAGTACCAGTACTTCGCCAAGGAGTTGTGATTCCAATTATCCAAATACTCAAATGTTGTTTGTTTGATGAACAAAAAGCAAAGATACTGGTCACAAGAAGCATGAACCATGCAGCTGTTAACAATACAGGCTAAAAAAAAGATGAGGCTTCTTTGAAATCTGCCATATATGGACACAGCTTAACTGTTTTCCCTTGATTGCATCCACTCTGGTGTGTGAATACACTTTTCTTGCCCCAAAAATTAGGTAAAAATTATCAGAAAAATTACTCACTCCAAGGTCACCTGAGCCACAGCGTCCATTGAACTGTATCCATTTTCCATGAAAATCTCTGTGTATCGGCCCATCTTGATTGCTTCCAGCCATTCACCTACTGATCTGTAGGCTCCAGACCCAAGAGAACCATGCTCGGCCAACAAAGTAGATACTCTAAATCACACAAAACACAGATATTATAATTAACAAGCTGATCCTTTTTTATTTGTAATTATAATATTGTCACATTTAAAGAATCTCTGGAACTAGAATTAAATAATAGGGAAAATACACAACTACTTGAATAATAGACAATTCAAGATATAAGTGGGAAGAGACAAAAATAAGTTTTTGACTTTTACTGTAGACTGAATCATAATCAGCAAATTAGTAAGTTTTTTTGTGAAAAAAGGTATTTATGCTTTCATTGCTCATTTTGATGGTGTATAGTTATATTCAATTAGTAAGTTTAATCTCCAGCTAATGTTTCATATGTAACCATAGACTTCTTTTGAGTTTCCATCTTTTAAATACAAATATCAACCCAACATGACCAGAATAAAATTCCTCATTTTATTTATCAATTTTTCAAGTGGTTCCAATTATAGTATTTGGAACAATAGTCTAACCCTTCCTTGTTCTCAATTTCTCTCAATCATAGTAAAATTAGCCATACAAATTAAAAGATACTTTATAATTGACCAGGTCTCTTCCACTTGTCACCTACTTAATTAAATAAAGCTTCATGGTAAATCCCTATTGCTAAAAGCACAATACAGCTCTGACACAGAACATGAAGGATCCATTCATGATCTGACCTAAAAGTCTCACTGTATCAGAAGTCAGGCAAACATCCATGGGAAGGAAGCAGACCCTAGCAATCTATGATGCCAATGACTTACAGTAATGTCCAGCACTGTGCAATGAAACTCACTAAGGATGCAGAAATGGTATTAATATCATGGTGGTAAACAACAGCTCTCCACTTGGATTCAAGGCTGTTCAAAAAAAGGGAAATCATCTCTGGTACTGGAAGCCTACCCAATTATTCAAGGTTAATGAGGTCATGGATTGATGGGGGGAGGTCTTTCTGTGTATATGTTTATCTCATTGGTTGATAAATAAAGTACTGTTGGCCAATAGGAGAGCAAGTTAGGCAGGAGGAAGAGCAAGAGCAAGAGAGAATTTATGACTTCCTGTTTGTCCCTGCTATGTCATTTCTTGCTTGTATCTGTTACTACATTTCCCAGAATCCTCCTTGACTCTTAGTCCTGCCTAACTTGCTTCTTCATTGGCCAACAGTACTTTATTCAACAACCAATGGGATAAACACCCACAGACAGACATAGGACATTCCCATAAGACTTATGGTTACAATGGATTTTTTTTTTTTTTTTGGGTTTTTCGAGACAGGGTTTCTCTGTGTAGCTTTGGAGCCTATCCTGGCACTCGCTCTGGAGACCAGGCTGGCTTCGAACTCACAAACTCACAGAGATCAGCCTGCCTCTGCCTCCCGAGTTCTGGGATTAAAGGCGTGTGCCACCAATGCCTTGCCTTGTTACAATGGATCTTAGAGAAGAACTGAAAACTACTATTTTACTAAACCAACATAATGCCTAGCTTAATTCTAAATAAACTTAATCCCATCTTTGAAAATAAAAATTCTCTTTGCAACAAAGAGCATTACAGAATCCAGAACTGATTAAAATGCAGTGAACAGGTTACTATATATGGTGCTCAGTCCCAAATAACATATTTTCAATACAACTTATGTCCCTAAATCTCCAAGCAACATGTCCAGAAGAGGAGAGAGAAATAGTGTAAGGTCCAGAACATGAAGTATATACCCATGAACTCTCAACAACTTTATAGTCTAAATAAGACCTGGAAAAGCATGACACAAATATACATTCTAACATGGAAGGGACAAACATCTTACAGGGTTTCAACGCTAGGGAAAAAAAAACTGTAGTAAGCTAAGTAAGGGATACTGATATTGGGAGAAATAAGAATTTTTACACTAGGACAAGAACTGGTTATTCAATCATATACATACAAGTATATGTATGTGTGTATGTGTGTGCAATTAAAGAAACCAAGGCAATGAATTTGGGGAACTTGAGCCAGGGGAATTACATGGGAGGAGTTGGAAGAGGAAACAGAAATGAGAAAATTATATAATTAGATTTTAAGTTCAAAATGGAAATTAAAATAAAAGGAATTTTCTTGTTTCCCATGAACAGACTCTATAACTTCTGGGTTATCTGGAATTCTACTCTCACTCTCCAGTGCAGAAATAAATGCATGTTGTTACAATGATTTTATTTATTTTTTGTTTTTTAAATATAATTTATTTATTTTAAATTTCATTTTACATTTCAACCACAGTTCTTGCTCCCATCTCTCCTCCTAACCCTGCCCACCCCCTCAGCCCACACTTAGTCTTCTCTTCCTCATGAGTAAGGGCTTGCATGAGGAGTCAACAGAGTCTGACTCAATACATTAGGGCCAGGACAATCCCCTTTACCATGAATTAAGGTTGAGCATGGCATCTGATCCAAGGGAGTGGGCTTCAACAAGCTAGCTCATGTACCAGGATTTTATCATGCCCTTACTGCAAGGGTCCCATCTGATAGTTCAAACATCATAACTGCCTCCCACAAACAGTAGCCCTAGTATGGTCCCCTAGAGTTTGTTTAGTTGTCAGTCTAGAGTTCATGAGTTTCCATAAGCTTGGTTCATCTGTCTCTGTAGATTTCCCATTTTGATCTTCACCTCTCTTGGTCATATATTCCCTCCTCCCTCTCTTTGACTGAATTCTTGGAGCCAGGCCTGGTTCTTGGTTGTGGATCTCTGTGTCTCGTTCTGCCTAAGTCCATAGTGACTCTCTCCATTAAGATGTCTTTCATCCTTCTTCCTCTTCATCACTCCCACCTCAACCATCCCTTCCCTTCATGTTCTCATCCTCCTTCCCACTTATTTACCCCACATATTCCTGGTTTACCCAGTATAATCTCAATTGATTTCCCTTCTGCAGGCAATCCACATACTGATGAACACCTGATTTTTCACAAAGAAGCCAAAATGGTACAATAAAAAGAGGAAACTATCATTAATAAATGGTGTTGGCATAACTGGAAATCAACATGGAGAAAATTGCAAATAGATCCATGTTATTGCCATGCACAAAACTCAAATCCAAGTAGATCAAGGACCTCAACAAAAATCCAGCTACATTGAACCTGATAGAAGAGAAAGTGGGAAGTAGCCTGAAATGCATTGGCACAGGAGACCACTTCCTAAATACAACACCAGTAGCACAGACACAGAAAGCAACAATCAATAAATGGGACCTGTGGTAATTGAAAAGCTTCTATAAGGCAAAGAACACTGTCAATAGGACAGAACAACAGCCTACAGAATTCGAAAAGATCTTCACCAAACCCACATCTGAGAGAGGGCTGATCTCCAAGATACATAAAGACTCAAGAAACAAGACATCAAAATATTAAATAACCCAATTGAAAAATGGTGTACAGAGCTATAAAGAGCATTTTCACCAGAAGAATCTCAAATGACCAAAAGACAGTTAAGGTAGTGCTCAACGTTCTTAATCAGCAGGGTAATGCAAATCAAAATGACTCTGAGTTATCATCTTACACATGCCAGAATGGCTAAGATCAAGAATACTAAGGACAATTTATTGTCATTTTATTTTGTCCTTCCCTCCAGTGTGCTGGCTCCCTAAAGGGATAATATATATAATATATAGATCTGCTGGATTGAACCTGGTGTCTTCAGCTCTTAGCTCACAACATAACATAGACTGAGATGGTGAATATTCATTGAATGAAATAGTATATTGATCTTTGGTCATTATTCTAAATTTTATAATTATGAAAAATAGAAATGAAGAAAATAACAGGTGAAAAGTAGACAAATACTACATTAAGGAATCATCACAATTTTGTAAACATTCAACTTTAAAGAATATTACCATGGGAAGAATCCAATAGAGGTTAGAAAATACGACCATTAAATGAAAAAATAAGGTACTAAGAGGATTTCAAATATTATTATTTAGATACCAAAGTCATAAAATTTTGTGATATAACTGATAGCAGCTAATGAGCCATGAGCAAACTCGTTGCAGAATTATTGTTTGTATGTGACTGTTTAATTAAAATTAGATAGCCTAAATACTTAATATATGTATAAGACTAATATGTATAAGACTAATATGAACTCTACAAACCACATACAAAAAACGATCTTATATACCATATATAAGAAAATAAGGAAAGATGATTAAAAACAATCAATATGATTTAGAATACCAGGGACTTTTTTATTATTACCTTTCTTTAGATAGTTTGTGACAGTTATCTCAATATCATTCATAAAATTAGACTAGAGAAAGGCTCAATATTATACATGACCATAGGGAATTAAAAACAGAATTTAGGGAAAAACATATGCAGTATTTGTGAAGAAGACATAGTCTCTAGCTGTTAGCATAGAAAGTTCAAATTACAGCAACAGATTCTGAGTGCTCATTCCCGACTTATATTAAAATGACTTAGTAAACAAATGTTGCATCAGGATCAGACAACTTATGTAACTTCATCATAAGCAAATAGTTTTATTTAGTTCATTTTAATAAGCAGTCAATTCAGCAACTAGCAGGACTTCCTTTTTAGTAAAAATAAATTTAAAAATCACAGTGGCATTAAATATACTGAAAGTAATAATCTAGTAAATTTTCTAATTTGAAACCAACTTGATTTTTATTAGTGGGAACGTTTCAATAATTTTTCTGATAAAGTGAAAAATGCATTGGAAATATCTAATATTACTTAAATGTATTCTTATTGTACTTCATAAAAATAGAAAATATGGTTATTGGCTTGTACACATTTTTCCACAAGGTTATTCATTTATCAGTTCTAATCTTCAAATTTAATACTAAATGATTAAGCAAATATCTCTGTACAATCAGATAAAGTTTAAAAAGTCCTGGAAGACATCAGTGTTCATAAACTGAATGCCACAATGTAATCATAAGTTAATGACTAATGTCGAAATGTATTCTAAAGAATTCATGTGTAATCATTGTTAGCTATGTGGTATAGAACCATCAGTGCTTCCTTTGTCTCTTATATCTCATTTATCTACCAGAACCTATGCTCTAAACACATTTTGATCTTGTTTTCTAAAGCTATTTCAGTGTAGTGTGCACATACTATTTTTGACAATAACATGTTACATGACTGGCTTGTTTTTAGGGATAAATTATCTACATCTTTTTATTTAAAAAGGTAAACATTATGAAAGATTATTGTTAAATAATCTGTCATACAGATTCATGTAGTAATACATAAATGCCTGAATTGATAAAGTATTTATTACATCAACCTGATCAGATAAACCCAGGAAAATTACACAAGTCTGGTCTTTTACCTGCTCGATGCATTAACAAGTGTCTTCAAACTACTTGGGTTTCGTATCAGCTTGTCCAGCATGTTGACTATTTCATCAAATTTGGGTCTGCTATTTCTATCTTTCTGCCAGCAATCCAGCATTAATTGATAGAGCGCAGCTGGACAATCCATGGGGCTTGGTAGGCGGTAACCTTCTTCCACTGCTTTGATCACCTGCAAAAGCAGAGCAGAGCTAGACCACAACACCACTAATGTAACACAGAGGAGTCTGAAAGTTCTCTTTCATCTGTATTTTTATGTTTGTGACAGTAACCAGCATCACTATGGTTATAAACAACAACTACATTTATGTGCTGCAAAGTAAGACAATAGGAAAAATGTATGCTTACAACATTTAAAAAATTAGCCATTTTTGTCATGTTAAAAAGTAAATGATAAGCTGTTAGCAGGGTACATGCCTTTAATCCCAACACTAGGGAGGCAGAGGCAGGTGAATCTCTGTGAGTGCAAGGCCAGCCTGGTCTACAGTGACTTGCAGGATAGCCAGGTCTATGTACAGAAACCTTGCCTCAAACAACAAAAATAAAATCCTAAATGGTGATGATGCTAACCTCTAACCTAGGTGGAGGATATTTTATGAAACAAATTGCCTGCAAAATAGATCATATTTTAATTTATTCTTGCATGGTTTCTCTGAAAGCATATCTTTTTTCATAAAAGTATATACAGTCACATTTTCAAAGTGCTAGAGTGGCAATTTCGTTTCAAAAGTGACTTTTGGAGGGTAAATGATGGATAAGTCAAAGGCTAAATTAGCATAACTGTCTCATGTATCATTTAATAATGTCAAGGTCTGACTGTTTATTATCTTTGGATTTCTGTCAGGAATTTGAAATTAGTGTCTACTGGCATAGGCATTATGAATATTTATTTTAAACCCATGTATGAGCATCAGTCCATTTGTGGCTATTAAAAACAATATTATTGCTGACATCAAAATATCTAAATACAAGAAATGCTTTTTTATAGCTAAAGAATATAATGGCCTTTTAATTCATTTAAGAAAACTATCCCACAACATTGTTAAGGAATGTCTGTCTCAAAAACACTACAAATTACCTTTAGCAAATTTAATTACATTATGCCCCAAATAACTTAGATTTTGTTTAACAAGCAATAGAATAAAATCAGCCAAGGAACTTCACAAAAACAATCTTCTGGGACTGAATGTAAGGCAATCCCTTTGCAACAAATAGTACGACAGCTGATCAAATACAGTGGCAGGCAGGAAGAGAAAACTGTGCATTTACAAAGCATACATGACTAAGAAGTATAAGGGAAAGAATCTCAGAGAGCAAACATTTTCAGGCTCATCACATTGAAAGGTAATTTCCGTTATCTTGAAGTAATAAAATCTATGAAGTAAGTAAATGTTATGAGGTTTAACCAGGAAATCTTTTTATTTGTGGTGATTTGGATAGACACATGACAATGTACATGAATCTAACCAATATAGAGGGAATTTGGGGGTTTATAAATCATAGGATCATAGGCACTTGATCACAACTTGAGTTATTCTAGTTTCTATCTACCAAATAAAACAATAAAACTATTCTCTGAAGCACAAAGTGCAGACAGAAAAATATATGTACTCAAGTATTGTGAAAGGATCAGAATAATAATTGGAATACTTGAGAGAAGTGATCTAAGCAACCTTCTCCCTTAGTTAACCTACTTAACTTCAAAACAACAGAGAAATCAAATGGCAAACTATGAAAAAAAGTTATTTTCAACAAATGAAACATAACTGATGCACTAAAAGCAAAAGCATCATGAAAAATATAAACAGATTAAAAATAACTCCCAATTAAAGTTAGAAAAGAAAATGAGAAAAATGCAAAATGTGACTAAAGATATATTCACAGTATGATTTGCCCTTATATTTTAATGGGACTTTATTTATTTATTTGCTTGGTTTTCCCTTTCATTATTCATGATATAGTACTAGCGCCTTTAGTACCCTAAAGAGCCAACATTGAAGTCTACATTCAGTAAAATTTTACTTAAAATTTAATCTAATTTATAGCATGTGATTCTTTCAAAGTCTTTAATTAATTCTATTTAATTAATTCTATTTATATACAATTAGAGAAGAGGATATAGATTTTAAAATGAGTATGTGGAGACATAGGAAGATTTGGAGGGCAAAAAGGGAAAGGTGTAAATGATATAATTATAGTACTTATGTATAAAATTCTAAAAAGAAATGAATGCAAAATTTAAATTAAATTACTTTTCCACTGAGAATCTAGACTTTATATATAATTGTGAACTGGAGAAACTAAATTAATTCCTTGCTTCTAATGTAAATACAATGGTTTTTCCTATGTGCTTTGTGTCCTATAGGCTCATGTGTGGCAGATCAATACTGTAACTGTTTGCTAGGTAAATCTATAGGAGATGAAATCTAGTGGAAGATAATTATGTCAGAATATTTCATCTCTGATAAAGACTAAGGCAGTTCTAATTGGTCTGGGTTATTTTCCACTTTCCCGTGTTTCTCTACTATGCTTTGCTTGATCCAGGAAGTTTTGTGCCAGACGAGTTGGCAGCATGCTGTTTGGACATCTCAACCTTTAGAATCTTGAAATAAAAAAACCTACCTTTTTATTTTTTTATCTGCAATGGTTTGAATAATAATAGACTTACAGGTTTATATGCTGTAATATTCAGTCCCCAGTTTGAGGAACAATTTGGGATGGATTGGAGTGGGGGTGGGGCTTGTTAAAGGAGATGTGTCTCAGGAGCATCCTTTGAGGTTTCAAGGGATTCATGCCATTGCCAATGTGATCTCTGCTTCCTGCTAATAGATCAAGACATGAGCTCTCAGCCTCTAGTCCAGCCACCTGGCTAAAGGTGAGGGTGTAATTATACACTATACCCAAGGTAAATAATAAATGGGTGGTTACTGGGGAACAATTACACATTAAAAAAAAAAACCACAGGAGTATTTCTCTGCACTTGCTACTGGATCGTTTATTCATTCACCAGAAAGACTGAGGGAAGGAAAGCCACTCCTCAAGCTCCCCTCTTCCTCCCTTCCCTCTGCCTGAAGCCAGGCCCAAAGGGGGTGTGGTTACCATCACAGGCCAAACCACTATACCTGCCATCATACTTTTGCTTTGCCATCATAAACTCTCACCCTCTGGAACTGTAAGTACAATTAAGTTGTTTCTTTTATAAGAAATGCCTTGGTCATTTGCATTTGTCATGGGACTTTATCAAAGCAATTGAAATGTAACTGGTATAGAAGCTTGAAACAGGAATTGAGCATTGGGTGACAGGCCTGATGAGATTGTTCCTGACGACTGTGGAAGACCTGGTAATTTTAGAATAGAGAAGTGGTTGATTGTTGAAAGTAAGGTATTGCAACATGTTGATAGGATCTGGAAAGACATTAGTGTTTATGATGAAAAGATAAGGAAATTAAGGGCCCTGATCTAAATTGGAAAACAGGGAAGGGTGTCACCAGGACATGACTCTACCCAACCAAGCTCCAACCAGTGGAAGCAAAATGGCATAAGGAATTTTCTGCTCCTTCAAAACTAGTGAAAGCTTCTGTCAATGTGATTCAAGGAGGCTGGCATACACCCCAAATTTGAAGCCAAACTTGACAGTGTTGTCCACATAATTCTGGCAATAGGGTCATGAAAGATACACAGGTAAAAGAATCTTCCTCAGAGAGCACTAGGGCCAGGCAATGTGTGGGAGGGCAGTCGCAGCATGAATGTTCTAAGAGGCCTAAAGGCCCTATAGGCCACAGCATAAAGCTGCAAAAATGAAGCCTGGATTTTCCTGGAGACCCAAGATGTTGGACTTGCCAGAGCCACTAGACATGTTGACAAGGAAATATGATATAGGGAGTGGAACCAGACAGAGAGATGCATTTCACAGCCAGTAAAATTGCAAAGGTAGAATCATCTAAATGCTTTGACAGAGGATATGGAGCTACAAGATTTGGAGTTTGTTCTGCTATATTTTGGTCCTGCTCTATTCTGTGCCAATGTACATTGGAAGTATGTAATTTGCCTTTTGATTTTAGAGGAGGCAATGCCACTGGAGGTCTAGTAAGGGCTTTAAGGCTTCAAAAGATTCATGCCATTCCCACTGTGTATTTTTGATTCCTATTTGTGGTTTAACATGTAAGCTGTCAGCTGCTGCTTCCACTAATATGTTAACTATTTACTCATTGCTACCATGCTGCTCAGCCAGGAGGAACACTTAATGCTATGAAATTAGAAGGCCAATTAAATACTTTCATTTATAAGTTTCCCTGGTCGCTGGGCGATGGTGGCATATGCCTTTAATCCCAGCACTCAGTAGACAGAGATAGGTGGATCTCTGTGAGTTGGAGACCAGCCTGGTCTACAAGAGCTGGTTCTAGGTCAGCCTCTAAAGCCACAGCGAAATCCTTTCTCAGAAAACCAAAAAAACAAACAAAACAAATTAGTTTCCCTGGTCATGGTGTTTCATAACAACAATAGAAAAGTAACTAAAGCATATGCTATCTTACATTAAATATTCTGCTATGACAATACCGAATGCTCTAAGACAACAAGTTATTTATTGTGATTTGTAGAATCTATTGTATCATATATATTCTTATGTATGCACAGGTAATATTCATATCAAAAATTGAAAGATGTATAGGGTTAGTAATAGTTGTGTACCCATTACCAAATAGGTTGATGTACTTTAAAGCCCGATATTCTTGTGACCTCTTAAGGAACTTCTAACACATCAAAAGTAGTAATAAATCTATTTGATTATCACTTACAGAATTCATGATAAAATGAATAGAAAATGAACTACTTAAGAAAAGACAAAATAAATCGAACAGGAGAGTGAGAACCAGAATAATGTTATGACTGAAACATTTTTGAATTCATATATGTAGTGGAATATATAATAAAATGAATAGAAAATGAACTACTTAAGAAAAGACAAATTAAATCGAACAGGAGAGTGAGAACCAGATTAATGTTATGACTGAAACATTTTTGAATTCATATATGTAGTGGAATATATGTATTCAAGTATTCAACAATAAATACCAGAGAATGACACTAATTATAAATGTAAAGATATTATGTAATAAAATATTAAATTTGTTTTTTATTCTGTGTTATGAAAAGTGTTGATATTTAAAATGTTTTTTACTAACAAAGGAGCTTCTACTGACTACAGTTATTATCAACACTTCAGAGTTCAAGGTCTCACGTTTCTCTAAAATTACCTGGCTTATTCATGATTATTTTTATGGTTTATTGTGACTACTTTTTCTATGTAATGGCAGAAGCAATTCTGAATCAAAAGAAATTTATTGAATTCTGTCTTCCTGACATAGAACTAGGTCTCCTCTATGAGATTTAGAGTCTGCTCTATGAATGGTAAGGTTACATCTCATGATAACAAAAGCCATTTTGTGGTCAGAGCATATAAAGAATGTATATCTAACTTTTAAAACTATGGAATCAGCATATAATTTCATTATTTGAGACTGTATTTTTGTCAAAGAAAGTCAGTGGTTATTGAGTTTGGTTAGTTTGCTTTGTTGTTGTTTATATAAAATTTAGTTAGAATGTGAGATATAACATAATTAGTGTAGTATTCAGAAATGAAATGTCACTGATGACTAAAAGCTCAATAAATAACACAACATGATCTCTACATTGTATTAGAGGGCATTTTCAAAAGAAGATTTGTGATTAGTTGCTCTGTGAGTTCCCTTTCTACAATTGTAACTGTAACTTGTTACAATTTTAACAGTAACTGATGTAATTGCCAGTACCTGATATGTATTAATAGAACAATCCATTGCATAGTTAGGAAAGTCTAATGGATCAGAACTCAAAAAATCCCAGGGTTGTGCAGAAACTAGATCTTGAGGCGGGCAAATGAGGAAATCATATTTCTATTGAATGAAATAAATAAATGCTATGGATTGTCATTTGGGGGATTTGTGACAACAGAAAAAAATGAAGCTTGATAAAAATTAAAAGCAATACTGGGGTGGTACAAAAGTGATGCAAGTGAACTTTCATTTGCAAGTTCATGCAAATGAAAAAGTAGCTAGAAAACAAGGCTTAGTCTAGCCTTGTTCAATTCAGATTAATCACTGTCTATTGAATTGAACATTTCATGACTCATTCATTTAGAAGACTTACATGGTTAGGACATAAAAAGCAGAAGTATATAATAATTCAATTGCTATAAAATATAGCAATTGCTATAAATCATATATATTTAAATGCAGGAGAAATGGGTTGATATGTCTACTATAAATGTTATGTTTTTTGTGACTATGAAAATAACTGAGCTTTTCTAGGCCCCAGTTCTCCAATATAAATGTCAAAAATGACATCTTTTTAATGTAATATTTAAGTATACATACATAAGTACAATCTTAAAAATATTTAAGATATAAATTTCATGTATAGACACATATACATATTTCAGAAATTGAGTGATGTTTTTATGTATCTCATAATGTTCGTTTGAAGACAATAGACCCTCTGCTCCTTCAGTTGTAGAGAAGTATAAGTCAGTACTAATTTTCTTAAGCCAAATTGACCAAGTACAATACTTGGAGGTGACTGCAGAGGGGAGATGACTACTTTTGAATGTAATCTGTTTATGCTACTAGAGAAAAATTCTGAGAGGTAAATTTAGGAAGCCACGGAGTCCCTCTAGCAAAACTGTGCTTTCATTTGTAGGGAAGCGAAGTTAGGGTTCACGAGGAGGGAAATGGACAGCAAGAGAAAGGAGCTTTTGGAAATCAGCTAGACTCCATTGTCCTCTTTGACATTTCCAGAAAACTCTATCAAATGTCTTAGTAGAATGTATAAATTCATTAATAAAAAATCAAATCTGTCTCCAGTTTTCTGTTTTTCCACTTAAACAAATACTGACCAATGCAAATAAAGATTTTGGTAGAGGAAAAGGAAAAATAATTGACCATGTCTGCCTATTATTTGCCTAACTTGGATTGCCATGGTCCACAGTTGTGGCATATACCTTGAAATACAACTGAGATGTAGTTATGGCTAAACTTTGAAAGTCAAAATTAATTGCTTGTATGGGATTGTCATTGTAAACAGAGTAAGTAGAAAACTCATAGAATCTGCCTATGAGCCCCTGAGGACATGCACAGAGTACAGATATAAGAAACAATTGGAGAAAGAAAAAATATTTCAAATAAGTACATTCTTGAATCAAGACTGGTCAGTACACTTGACTTACAAAGGAATAATGAACTAGTTATTGGTAAGGGGCAAAGAGAATACTCTGAGGATTCAACATTTCCTAGCTACTTTCAATACATTATCAGAAGGAAAAAAATCACATTTTCATATGATCCAGACTCAAAGAGGATGCATTGAATATTAATGATGGAAAATGATCAAAGCAAAGACCACAGTTCTGTCCTAGGCATCATAACATAATCACTTGAATTTGGAAAGAAAATTCTCTAATGGTTCCTTTCCTCTTAGAATTATGTAATTCTAAACATTAAGTACATTTTTATTGTTAGAAGAAAATTCATATCTACCAATTCATAAATAGAATGTAAATCATCTTATATTTCAAAGATGAGAATTCAGCATTAATTTTTCTAGGGTTGCTCCTTCTTCATCTTTGAGAACAGTACGATATAAACAGAGTGGAAAAACACTATGGAAACAGCTAAATCTGGTTGGCAAGGGACTCCAGGTTTTCCTACCTTTAATTATGTTACTTTACCCCAACTCATTTTTACCTGTTTCATAAAGGTTAATTCCATTACAACAAATGTACCAAAAAGTAAACAAAGCATTTTATATTTTCCAAGAAACTGTTATTTTCACAATTTTAAAACATTGTAAGAGTCTTGACTCAGAGAACAAAGAATTTCATTCTCGACTAATAGAGAAAGAGTATCTCTGTACTTACATCTTGATTGGTCATCTCCCAGTAGGGTCTCTCTCCATAAGACACAACCTCCCACATTACAATTCCATAGCTCCAGACATCACTGGCAGAGGTGAACTTTCGAAAAGCTATTGCTTCTGGGGCAGTCCATCTGATTGGAATTTTGCCTCCCTAAAATAAAATATAAAAGGCATGAATATATATATTTATATATGTATATTCTAGCATACTTCAAGGGTATCTAGGGATACTGCAGCTTCTTTGGGAAGATCTAGAAAAAGATGTAACATTTTTAAGTGGATCTGTTTGACAGCATGCAGTCTCTTTTCACATCTCCCAGCTCATGAGCACTTATAGACTAACAGTTAATTGGCTGTCGGGAAAGTTTCTGCTATAAATTCTGTTTGACTCTTGGAAGGCATACAGGACCTACATCTCAATTATAGTGCTCAGGATTGCAGCAGTGATTAGGGGAGGGGGGCACCCAGCTCATCAATAAGGTGTACACTCAGCTTTGTAAAAGGAAAGGACTCAAATACTCTGCATGCATTTTTTTAAAGTACAGAATTATAAATGGAATGTCTACTCTGTTAAATAAAACCCTGGGATACTTAACAGTTTAAAAGACAAAAAGGAAAATTCTACATTCTGAAAACTGAAAGATCTCTCTCCCACATTGTTTTATTTCTGTAAGGCTTGATTCCCAGCCCCCTCTTACTTTAATGGCATACTTTTGTGTCTCTTTAGTTAGTATTTTGAACCTAATAAATGCTATTGTTTAACTGAACTAATCAAAAGACTGTGAGGTACTCAGAAAAAATTCATTCACGTTTTACAGTTATTTTCCATGTACTTGCTAATATATATTGAGAGACAGATTTTTGTTATAAATAAAACTATTTCTCACCTTCCTATTTTGTAGAAAACAATAATGAAACAATTAACATATGAGAAAGAGAGACAAATTTCCATGACAAAGGAAACTTTAATGATATATGAGAAAATAAGTTTCATGTCATGATTTGAAATTTGGGAAGGGATAAAATTTAGGCTTAATCTTTTTATACACATAAAATCTGATGCACATGTATCACAATACACCTGGAATGTTTTTGGAAAGTATTTGGAAATAAATACATATAAAACATTGCATCACACGGAGTTGTAATATGCCTATTTTATCTTGCTTCATTTTCATTTGTATTTAGACTCATTTTTACTTTTAACTATGTATATATGTGTGGGAGGGTTCACATGAGGGCAGGTGTCTACAGAGGCTCCTGGATTTCCTGAACTAGAGGTATAGGTTGCTTAAGCTGCCTGGTATATTGTTAGGAACCTATCTCAAGTTTTTACAAGAGCAGTATGTGCTCTAAAGAGTGGAGCCATCTCTTCAGGGCCATGGTGAAATTTTTACTGCTTTGTTTCTTTCTAACAGAATCTTGCTCTGTAGCTCAGGCTGGCCTTGAACTCATTGCTGGTTCCCAGCAATCCAGTTGTCTAAGTATCCTGAGTGTTGGAATTGGAGGAGAATTGTTTTGTTCTTCAACATGTGATTAAATTGTCTTTTCAAAATTGTATTTTATTGATTCTGCTAAAGTTTCATCTCTGAATTTTTATTTTATTTTATTGGGACAATGCGAGTATCACTAACTTCTGAGGCTGACTTACCTGATTAGCTCTCATTACGGACATTTCCTACAAAATGCTTCCATACCTCATTTAGGGAAGGAAGCCTTGAAAATATCAGGGTCTCTGGCTCTTCTGCTGGTGCTGTAGCATAACACAGTGACAAAGGGCCTAGAAAAACCTACTTGTCATGACCTAAGTCATACACCCATCATAGCAGCAATCCTGCTTGAATTTTTGCGCGCACACACACACACACACACACACACACACTGCATTCTTCAGGAACTCAGAATTTCTGTTCTTGGCATTTGTTCTAGTTAGAGTAGCTATTGCTGTGATAAAACACCATGACTATAACAACTTGGGAGGGGAAAGGGTTTATTCAGTTTGTGCTTCCATATCACTGTGCATCATGGAAGGAAATAAGAACAGGAACACAAAATAGTGAAGGATCCTGGAGACAGGAGGTGATGCAGAGTCGATGGAAGGTTGGGATTTACTGGCCAGTTCCTGGTGTGTTAGTCAGCCTACTTTCTATAAAACCCAGGACCACCAGCCCAGGCATGGCCCTACAGATAATTGTCTGGGGGGTCCCTCAAGGATCAATAGTTTAAAAAATGCCACACAGCTTGCCTAAAGTCCAATGTTATGTTGGCATTTTCTTAGTTGAGACTCCTTCCACTCCAGTGACGCTAGCTTATGTTAAGTTGACATAAATCTAGCCAGCACAGTATCCTTAAGAAAAAATAAATAAATCACTGAGGGTAAGAAGTTTAATATTTTTGTTATCTAAGTTTAATATTTGAATTTGCTCTCACTAAAAAGGTATAGAATTGAATTTTCTACTTTTTCTCTTTTTCTCTCATGTTTTCTCAGTCTCTTGTCTTTGTTGGAGGGATGCCCTTTTTGCTACTTCTTTTAACATCTTTAAAAATTAAATGCCTCTAGTCTAGTGTGTGAGAAATGCATTCTGTTAGATCTTACCCTTGTGGTGTAGGCTGCCTCAGGATCATCTTCCAGTATCCTAGAAAGTCCAAAGTCAGACACTTTGCACACAAGGTTACTGTTGATTAAGATGTTTCTAGCAGCAAGGTCTCTGTGCACGTAGCCCATGTCAGAAAGGTACTTCATTCCTGCAGCGATGCCTCTCAGCATGCCAACAAGCTGAATCACAGTGAACTGCCCATCGTTTTTCTGCAAAGACAGTGCAACCTTACACTCGTATGATTAACAGGAGGAAAATTTGGAAAAAGCCTTCTTTCATTTTTCAAATTACTATTAGCACCTTTCAAAAAGTGAATGCAATTTCTACTCAAGGATGATGAAAAGCATTAGAAATCACAAACTTAACTGATTATGTTGATCAGGTCAAACCAGGCAAAGACTTTGAAAGACCTTCAAAAATCTCATGCAGCATACAAACACACAAAGGCATGCACACAGGCAAAAACAGGCACTCCAGAAGAGGGTTCCAGTGGAAGAAAAAAGAGGGAGGAGACAGTGCTACTATGAGTAAAAAACTAAAATTATGTAATACTTGAAAACATTAAAGAATAAAATAAAGAATATTTCAATTATCTTCTGAATATAGCTGTTGACCAAAATGTACAGAATTTAAACCACTATGTTAAAACATGTTGGGAAATGATAGCCCCAGCATGTTTTAACATAGTTGTATAACACACATTTTAACATGTCCCAGCATGATTTAATATAGTTGTAAGAAATATATGTTTAAGGCAACAGCATTATATATTTCCTATATGGGGTTGTATGCAATGGGAAATAAATTCAAGAAGAAGAAATGCAAATATACTTAAGCTAACCAAACAGGTTATTGGCAACATCACTTCTTCATAACTTATACTGAAAAAGAGGCTGAAGATGGGTTGTTTATGAAACAATTCATTAGAGTCATGCAATCTTTTGACAAGAAGTTGATATGTAATTCTGTATTATCAATCAGCATGAGGCAGAAATAATTATTAAAGTTGCCATAAAGAAGACACAAAAATTACATGACTATATTTTCTATTCAAGAGACAAACATTTTGGGTCATGACTTAATAATATCTCTAATGGTATGTGTCTCTACAACATCAATAATTACTTAAAAACCTAAATTTTGAGAATTTATGTTTTGTTCATTCGAAATTACCATTCATTGATAAATTAATGTTATGTTATTATATTTTACTTACTTTTTATGTATACCAGGCTGACCTTGAACTCATAGAGATCTATGTGCATCTATTTCCCAAGTGATACTATTAGTGGTTTGTCCCAACACACTCAGTTGTGCTCAGTGTACATTTTGTGTTCTTACAGTGATAAAGATTGGATGCCACTGATGATTTTAAACTAATTTCTTTTTTTCTAATAATGCAAGTAATAAGTCCATATTTAAAATTTATAAAATAGTATGTAAAGAGGAAAACGTGGGCCATCCATCAGGGCATTGTGTTATATACTAATAATATTTTTCATCACTACTTTTCTTTTTTCTATATGTTGTTCTTTGACTACTCATGTGTAAACATACCTTCTTTCATCTGCACTCTGCTTAATAGTTCTAAGTACATGGTATGCATAACTTTGTATGCTGTATTGTACCCCACGTTACAGACTAATAAAAGCAGCATGTGTGTAATTTAAAATAATTACGTTTTGTTGCCTTCCCATGTATTGTAGCTTCTTTACTGTCAGACATCAGAAAAATTTGCCCATTTCTCCAACCTAGTGCCAAGCTTGGCTAACACTGAGTATACTTTGAGGTAATTTAAAAGTAGCTATCTAAATAGACATATTGGTATAAACATGAAATGGCCCGAGGAAACACAGGAGTTTTTGCAGCGTGGATGAGAGCAGGGATAATTACTGAGCACTGGATGGGAAAATATCAACAGTTCTTGGAAGTCTGTTGCTTTTGCCAAAGACATTAAATGTAATAAAGTTAAATGAACTCATAAAGCTTAACTAATAGCTTGAATTATTTTGAATAAAGTAAGGATACAACTCTAAAAGACTGGAAACCCTGAAAATGTAGAGTATTAACTGGCAATAGGCTGGTACATTGGTACAGGTTAGAGAATAAATAAAATCTTTACATTGCACTGGAGTACTTTGACAGTCCCTTAACAGGACCCTTTAAAAGTTGTCATCCATTTCATAACAGTACCTTTCCTCATCAGAAACAATACTCACTATAATGAATTTATAACTGCCAGACTGTCAGTTATTCATGTATTAAAATGTTACATTATTTTACACAAACTCTTTACAAGTGAAGAAAGTTGTCAATGTTTAAAACTGGAGGTGTGCATAGATCTCATTTAGTGCTAAAACCAAGGACACCTGATAATTCTAAGGTTGATGACTTTTCTGATGACTCCCCTTAGAGAAGTAATGATGCTCATAGACTCCAGATTGATGACTTCACTAATTATCTGCATTGGCATTTTAGATACATTTTCTTTGTCCATTAATATAAACATCAAAAAGATGAGTATATCATCTAATCCAGGACAAGGAGTACAATAATAAAAGGGAAAAAAAGAACATAAGAGGTGGTGGATTAGAAATGGAGCCATGAGATGCTGTTTTTTGACATGGTATGAGAATGGGCACAGCATTAACAAACTCATTATGGGTGTGGTCATCTGCACAGAAGCCATACAATGTGGCATAATTCAATATTCTAACAAGGATGAGGGAGGGTCTCAACAAATCCTCTTCCCTCCTGGAGGCTATTAACGATTTTTGGAAAAGGGAGCCCTGCTCTCTTCAGTGCAGTTGTCTCTGGCACATTGTTCATGATCCAACAAGTGGCTTGCCTCTTCTCCTTATTCAAACTACACTGATTGAACACAGAAGTCAAGCACACACATGAGACTGAAAATTAGGAACAGAACTTGCTGTTAAGAAGAAAATGTCCAGTAGGAACAGAAGGAGGTTAAGGCAAGTTAATGGGGGGTGTGTGGATATGATAAAAAATCATTTACATGTATGAAATCATCAGAGAATAAATAAGAATATTTCATAGTTTTGAGTATTTGCATGACTTCTTCTCCTCTTACTTTTTTATTTTATCCCTTTATTTATTTTTTAAATTTATCTCTATTTTCATTTCATTTGAAGTCATCATTTACGTAAATAAAATTACAGGGCCATGTAATTTAATTTGTATAAATTTCCTGGGAAAATATACCTTTCAAATATCAGTTTATTGTGGAGGATTATGGTGCTGACTAATTTACTCTGAATGTATTTAAAACTTTACCATTAAAGTTGCTCAATTTTAATCTTAGTCCATTGGCAAAACACATGTGGCAATAAATAGATAAAATAAAGCCAAATCTTACCTTTAAAAATGTGTCCAAGGAGCCATTCTCCATATACTCTGTCACTATCATCACAGGTTTACCTGGAAGAAATGGAATGGTATAAAATGGTTATACCATTTTACCATATTAATTCTCATAAACTATGTTTTGATCAGATTTTTCCCATACCTTCAATAAGTCCCAAATACTCCCACCTCCTGCCACACTCAGTTTTATGTTCCTTCTCTCTCTTCCAAACAACAACAAAAACCCACAAAATTCTTATCAAGGAGATATAATGCAGACATTTAAGCAGTGTCAATATGAATGTGTGTAAGGTTGTGGTAGTGTGCATGTGCACATATTATTCACTTCAGCAGTGCATAAATTATTTTATTTTCTTAGTATAAAAGTATTGTGTGTTGCAACCGGAGGCATGTGTATACACACACACACACACACACACACACACACACACACACACACACATACACACACATATCTATATGCATGTGTATGTGCGTGTGTGAAGCAATGCATGGATTCATGTTTGTGGCCTAGAAATAAGAATATCCATATAAAATGACTATAATCCTCTCTCTTATTCAGGCAGGATCTTCTTAGTTTGGTTACTGTTGGTGTTATAAACAATTAATAAAAACCAATTTGGGAAAGAAAGACTTTATTTGGCTTCTTACATCTTGATTATATTTCAACATGTATGGAATCCAGGATAAGAAATCAGGCAGGGTCAGAGATGGGAACTCTAGAAGACAGGTGCTTACTGGCTTGATCCTGGGTTCACATTCAGTTACCTTTCTTATGCCTCCCAAGACCACTGCCAAGGAGTGACACCATTCACAGTCTTCTCTCTCACATCAATAATCAAGAATGAAAAAGATACACAGATATGCCTACATGCCAAGAAGATTGAGACATTTCTTCAGTTGGAATTTCTTGCTCCCAAGTGACTCATGTTTGCATCAGGTTGAGAAACACTAAACAGCCTTAGGGTCTTTAACTGAAACCAAAGCTTGATGTGCATGGCCAAGATGAATTGTCAGGAGACTCCTAAGATCTGCCATTCCCCAACACTGACATTACAAGCCATTGGCATCAAATTCCACATTTAATTTGGATGCTGGAGACTTGAACTCAGTTACTTATTGTTGTACATCATGTACTCACACTCACTGAACCATCCCCCCTCCCCAACACCAAGACATAATTTATTGAGGTGACGATGGTTTTACTCTACCTAGAGAGTATTGAATTAATGCTAAATAGTGAAAGTGATAAATTACTTTTAAGACAAGTACATACGTTTGCCAAAATCAAAACTGACTTATGTGAGAAAAGAGTTTAATAATTAATTATATTTCATAACAGATAATTATACAATAACATTCATCAAAACAACTAGAACATACTTGTTTATCTGGCAATTCTGAAAATCTGATCTTGTCTAATTGTCCTATTTATTATAATTTTGATATATACTGTTTTTCTGATTTTACATATTTTTTTCTAAGACTTCTTTTCTTTCTTTTTTCTACCACACTTTTCATGTTTATCAAACTGCTTTCCCCAATAGCCTCTTCTAATTATCTCAGGTATGTGAAGGTTGTATTAAAAGTTAACACTTCTGGTCATATCCTTTTGAGCCTGCTTCACAAAAGTAGAAGGGAAGTTCTCCAGTCTGACTTGGAAGACAAGCTGTTAGGCTGATAGCTTTTGTTATCACTTGAATGTTTAAATTCAGCTCTCAAATAGACTAGATTAAGGAATTTCTAGATATCTGGAAATGTAGTGTTTTGGCTTCATCACTCAAGAGTATTTCAGAGATGGGTTCATGACTACTATCAATGTGTCAGCTCTGAGTTTGTGCTACTACCAACAGAACAGACAAAAAATGATAAATGTCCTTTCCTATAAGGGCTTAGTCTAACATTCATGCTGTTTGGCAATTGGATATCCAGATCTAATACTACCAGCACCTTCTCCAGTTCATGATCAGGTAACTGGGACAGATACTCTAGCTTCTTTTCTAATAGGGAGACCTCTGATATAAAGGTCACTATGCTACCACTATGAGCTTATGTGTCATGAGACTACACAAGAGCCAAAATCATGAGTTATATTTTGTAAATGCGCTGCTGGTATTATTTGGCAGTTGGAGAAATTTGCATAATATCACTAAGATATGAGCTTGGACAAGTCAATTATCTTCTATAACTGATTTTAACCTGTTAACAGTGAAATTAATCATGGCATCTATCCCACAGAATTGTGAGTTTCTACCAAGTCTACATCATCCAAGAAGTTTGAGTAGTTATTAACACTTCGTATTTTGCTACATGATTTGCTTAGTATTATTTTATACATTTGATAAACTCTTTATTTCCCAATCAGTGTTCTTGCTAGATGCAAGGGATCTCACATAATAAACCCTATTGTATCCCCAGAAAATTGTGGCATTTCTCACATGAAATGACTATACAAAAATGCCAGTAAAAAATAACAAATATCCTTTTTATGATGAGAATATAACTAAAACATTGCTATCACTTTTAAAATTCCACAATAATCTCATGTTTTTTTAAATACATGCCATTTTACTCTACAATGAAAGTATGTTGGGTAAAATTAAGCATTAATTTAAACTATTTTGAGTTAAGAAAAAGACCTCTGACTATAAAATTACTAACATTAATATCAATTATTCATATATTATATTTTTATATTATTAGAAGTGGGTTTTATAAAACTATGAACAACATTGTCATTAACTTAATGACATTCTCAATATGTGTCTGTTACTTAAGGACTATTGAGTTCAGGACACAGAACTAGAACTTGCATATTTAAACACACCATGCTACACAAGAGTACAAAGTTAGCTACAGAACATCTGACAGTCCCAGATGAAAAATAATGTAGACAGAAGAGAATTCTTCATTTAATATAATTTGAAACTCACTAGTTAGCATCATAAAATAGGAAATTTAATTCCTCACTCAAGATGATTATGCTCTCATGAAGAACATTAGTGGCAATTTTCTTTTAATTGAGTGTTACTGAGTATTACAAATGTAAGAGTATTTTCCTCATCCTTTAAAATATTTAACATTTTCTTTTTTAAGAAAGTTGATTTGACTTCCTTGCCTAACGTATAATGAGAGGTGACTAACATTTAGGAGTGGGTACATGATATACCCAGGAAACTTGTCAAGAAGAATTCATCAAGTTCAAACATGGACAAAGCCTTCTTTTCCATGTTTAAATCAAGAAATTTCAAGAAAGAAAGCATTATTGTTTAACAATTAGATTTCCACATCATAATAGTAAATACTTGTGAAACAAAATGCTAATGTTGGCCATGATGTGGGTAAAGAAAAACTTTAAACACAGCCTGTAGGAACATAAACTTAAAGCCATTGTCGAAATCAGAATGGCATTTCCTCAAGAAACAATTGAACAACTAAATAAACCAGTTCTATGATCTGATTTGAAGGACCCCAAGTCATACTAAAGAAACACTTTCACATTAGTTGTTGTGCTGTACCGTTTATAAGATTAGGAAAGAGAGACAGTCTTAATGTCTATCGAGAGATTGATGCACAAAAAATATACATGGTATCCAGAATGCTATTTTCTTCAGCTATGGACAAAAATGAAATTGTCACACATGCAGAAAAAAAATGGGCAGAACTAGAAATCATTGTTAAATGAAATAAAATAAGCCAGACTCACAAAGAGATATTAGTATGACTTCTCTCATACAGGGAATTTAGACTTAAAATTTCTGTGTTTGTGTGTGTGTGTGTGTGTGTGTGTGTGTGTGTGTGTGTGTGTGTGTGGTCAATAAGGAGAAAAGGGACTATGAAAGGGGAAGAATAGCAAGGGGACTGTGAGAGGTGAAGAAGTGACTGATGGTAATTGAGGGAGCAGAAAGGTGAAAAAAATGGGAAATGGTCATCTCTGGGACATGAAAAAAGAGGAGAGGCCAGTAGAGGAAAGAGAAAGTCAGTGAAAGGATGGCAGTGGGTAACAGAGCTGGGTAAAAACAAAAATAAATAAAAAAACTTTGGATTTTCAGTGGTTTTGTCAGAATAACATGAAGAAAGTTTCATAACTACTTGTGATTTTTGTTCATAAATAGAGAACTGCTTCTAATTTGAAGGTTATTTATTGATAGTGATGGTCCTTTTTAATGGAAATCAAGTAAATACCAAAATGGGAACAATTCTGGTGGGAGCTCTTTAGGTCTGATTCTGATACCCCGGGGTCCAATTTCAATTTTCATTTTTATGAATCAGTGTGTACCTCTAACACAGCATGGGAGTATTTCTATTATTTATATCTAAATAGAGCTAAAAAATTATTGGCTGAAGGTAATTGTTGATGAAACTACAAAGCCTGTTTTTCTTGAAACAAGCTAAGATTCCAGGAATATTCCTTAAGTAGCATCTTTGCTTTCAACCCACCTAATACATCACTTCCCTTACAGAAATCCATCCAGAGAGCAGTATTATGGTACACAGTTACAAGAACTGAATTCCTACAGATGTCTATGGAAGACAGACTCTGCTTCCCTTCATAGGCAAATATTCATTCATAATTACGAACAGACATCGTGATTATCAAAGAAAAACACTGATCTATATCTGTCCTTAAATTACTTATCCCATGACATTATATCTGTAGAGCTTTCCTCTGCAGAACTTAAAACATATTCTAATTCTTCTCTCCTTATAAGTTATTCCTTCTGTCTACCTGTGTGTATTTTGGACTGACTGTGTATTTTTAATGGTTAAAAAATAGTAGAATATAATGCATGCAATTGTCCCTTAGTATATCCTGAGAATTGTTTCAAGACTCCCATATATACATCTGTTATATAAAACTGCATGATATTTACAAATAGCCTATAAACATCCTGAATAATTCAATGTTTTCTAGATTGTTTACCATATATTATACATTGTAAACGCTATGGAAATAGTTTCATGTTTTAAGGACTGATAGTAAAAGAAATGCCTGTAATTGCTCACTAGACAACCAGCTTCCCTCTGCTAAGCAATTTCCACCAGCAGCAGGT